AAAGAGTGTGTAAGTATCATGTGCCCTATGAGATATATGTTTATGTTTTGGCTTTCAGACCTACATGCTCTGTTAATAGCTGCTTCAGAGACCTTTATCTAAAGCTTTTTCCCATATTGGCTATGCTTTATTTCTAGTAATGAGACTGAGTTTTTGGAGAACGTGCCGCATTTTGGATGTTTACTTTTTCTAGTATATGGCATAGCAGAGTGTTGTTTCATCACAGGGGCTCCTAGGGTGTTACGGTGTTTCACGTGGTATTTTTCCATATGTGCCCTAAGTGTACATTCTGCATTGACATTTGTGAGTGTAAATATCACACGTGCACATTTATACTGTACTTAAAATCTGCCATTTGTGAGGCCCTCTGCAGGAGGTCTCAGTCTGTGACATTTCCAATTCTTTTCTTGTACATCAGGTGGCATGTGGCTATAGTACGTTACTAATTTCCTCAACAGAGAGAGGCAGAGATGGTCAGCAAAGTGTGATGGATATTTTGGAACATGGGCAAAATCAGATCTGTGGGAAGAACAACTGTTTATCTCGTGCCATGGAGGTGCTCTAACCTTTTTGGCTTTTCTTTCCCACACAGGTTGCCCAGCTGCCTATGAAACTTGACTCAGAAGTGATGGAAAATGGGGAAAACTTTTCAGTTGGAGAGAGACAGTTACTGTGCATAGCTAGAGCTCTACTGCGCCGTTGCAAGGTGAGCATAGTGATGAAAGAAATAGCTGGAGATATCAAACTGATGGGATTGAACAAGACCCTTTTTTTTTTTTTTTTTTTTTTTTTGCACCAGATTCGTTTTATCTGTCAGAGGAATCACATCAACAGTTGCTGTTACCAAGAGAGATGTAGGGCTGGAACAACTAGGAAGGCATCTGTAGCCATCTGCTAGCTCCTGTGATGTCCTGCCATCAGAGAGACATTGCTTGTTAGTGTTAATAATAGGGTGTCAGAGTGGCCTAATCATTTATTCAGTGTCCTGTTACTAGCGAGCATCAGATTCTTTCCTTCTTTCACCTTTTTGTAAATGTCAGCCAACTATTTTCCGTTTACATGGTGCTCCACTAAAATGTAGCCTCCAAGTGGAAATTGGGACCATACTATGCCAGTGAAGTGAAAGACAAGTTCTGCAAGAACAGAAGACAAATGATAATTACAGTGAGAAAGGACTTTTGGATTGAGACTGACCAGTATCTTGATTTTAATATCCTTTTTCCTTAAATGTTTCACACCATAATATTTTAAGGTTCACTCTGCATCTGTTTTAAAGCCAGACTACGCAGCAGAAGTTACTGTTCTCTCTGCAATACCTGCACAAAACAAGTCTAGTTTAGCTTTGATGGGACATGACTCCAAATTGGTTTGTTAGAGTCTGAAAGGAAGGGAAATTCTCTCCAGCATAAGAAAGCTAAGAAGCCTCGTTAGTATTGACTTATTCCAGAAGGAACTGTCACCACCAAGGATGGGGTAGATCCGATTTATCAGTAAAAGTTGTATTTGAGATTTAGCTGCTGAAAGTAGTGAAAACTTGAGGCCCAGGTCAGAACCTGGATGTGACCATGATGCAAGTGCTATTACAGGGTAACTTTGAAGGCAATTACATGAAGAACACTGAAAGGGTGCTGGTGAAAACCACCTTTGTGACCACAGCTCCATCAGGGTTGCCAGTTGTGACAACTCTCGGTCATGGTAATTCTGGCCATGCTACATATTTTTATGTTCAGAGAGGGAAAGCATTACTATGGGTAACAGCCAGGATTGTGTGCTGCTTTCAGATTTTGATACTGGATGAAGCAACAGCTGCTATGGACACAGAGACAGACTTACTGATTCAGGAGACGATCAGAGAGGCATTTGCAGACTGCACTATGTTAACAATTGCTCATCGCTTGCATACGGTACTGGGCTCCGATCGGATCATGGTGCTAACACAAGGACAGGTAAGCAGAAAGACTTTTGTGGCTGTGGTTCTTGTGGCAGTCTGGTGGTGCCATATGTGCAGGCTGAGCTGAAAGAAAAGCTACCATTGCAGGGTAGAAAATCCTCTGTGTTCATTCACATCCTTGGCAATAATACTCCAATAGAACCAGCTATTGCATGACTGTGACAAGATCCAAGAGGGCAAAATTTCTTTTACACTCCAAAAAGCACCATAAAGTAATAATGTCTCTTTTAAAAGTGTTTTTAAACCCCCTTTGTAGGTTAATTCTAATGGGTAATAGTGTAAGCATCTCTGCTGGGGCTCAGTGGCAGTTTCCCATTACTTTCATGAATCCCTGTGCTATCAAACAGGCATATGAAAAATACTTTACCTATTTTTCAGGCTTCTATGTGGGAGCCATAAGCAGTTAAATATAAGAAAATTTGGCAAGGCTTTTAAAGGCAGAGGAGGCAAAACCCCATAGCATGTGCCTCTGTTTGCCAGAGCCACGAGAGGTTGCTTCCTACTGGGTAGTTCCAGTGTTTGAGCTAATTTGAGGGATCCTGGGTTACAGTATGTACGCATAAATGCACGTACTTCCACTGCCTTTCGTCTCATCTGAAGTCGAATGCCATGTTTTGGCTTCTATACTGCTGGGTCCCAAGTCCAAGGAGTGGGAATCTGTGTTCTGCTGGATTTTACTGCCATACTTCACCTGCCTTTTTTGCTTTTAGGTAGTGGAATTCGACACGCCGTCTGCCCTTCTGGCCAATGAGAACTCGCGCTTCTATGCTATGTTTGCTGCTGCGGAGAACAAGGTTGCTGTCAAGGGCTAAAATTCAGGGCAAAGTCACTTTAGTTTTTGGAGAGCTACACTCCCTGCCTGTGGCAGGCCAGCTCTTCCTCCTCCTCCAAGCAGATTATTGCCTTTTCATCTTTTAATTTTTAGCACAATGTGTCAAGCCAGAGAGTTTTTAAAACTGTCAGAAAAATTCTTCATGTTTTTATTATTGTATTTATTCCATAATCATATTACTAATTTTTTTTGTTATTAAATGCACTCTACAAATGGCTCAGGGAGCCATAGTTATAAATGTATCAGAGGCCTATAATGAAGCTTTATACATGTAGCTATATCTATACATAATTCTGTATATAGCCTATATTTACAGTGGAAATGTAAGCTGTTTATTTTATATTAAAATAAGCACTGTATTAATAACAGTGCATATTCTTTTCTATCATTTTTGTACAGTTTACGGTACCAGAGATCTGGCTTTGTTATCGGACTGTATCAGACACTGTTTTGTCTTTTACAGTTGGTCTTTTCCTAGTGCCGGATTTTCTGCGTGTCTGAGTGGAAGTGAAGCTTTGCAATAGTGTCCTTTATTGTCACATCTTTGTTGTCTAGCACAGGGGGGAAGAGCTCTGTGGTGTAACTCTATTGCACTGTAATTTATCAAAGCTATTTGGAGCATTGCTAATGTTCACCACGGCAGCGGCTGCTGCTTCCCATGATGCTTTCCCAAAGCAGGGTTTTTAGTGATCTCCATGAGTGGAGAACCACTTCTGGGTCACATTAAGGCCTCATATTTTCTCAGTGTCCTGATACAGTATTTCTTACTGTGTCAGCAGGGTTTATTTTAATGCAAGCAAGCCCAAGCTCTTCCTGCATCGCTGATCTAACACAACCAAAATCTAACTGTTTGTGGAATGATCTGTAACAAATTAATCACAAGGTTCAAGTCATACCCTGTATACTAGCAGGAAAGTCTTTTTGAAGTTGCTTCAGCTGACTGACTCCTTTATCTTGAAACTGCTAACACTCCTCAGAGGTTTAGGTTGGCTCTCATTGGCATGGGTAACACTAACTCTTTGTTCTGCTCACTTATACTAAGGTTAAACAACACCAATATTTCCTGTTTCTTTATTGCACACTTGTTAAGGAAACAGTCCCCCACCCCACGTCTTCTGGAACTTTAAACAGGTTCCTGTTGATCAGGATGTAACACTGGTGTAGGACATCGTTTCCTTACTGTAAAGAGACCTACCTCAGGTTACTAGGTCCTGCGTAGTACGTTGCCGTGATCACTGTACACCATCCCTGTTTTACGGGACCTGTAACCCCGGGTGGGCACGGTTGCTCCTATAATAGCCGTGACTTATTGAATGGTCAGCGTTGCATGTCTTTGTCAACTTGGACATTTTGTAGCCTTAGCATGTTTGCAAAATGTCTCATGGAGGCAGAAATCTGAAAAGTAAATAAAACTATTTTGGGTTTTGTAAATTTTGTTGGCTTAAGTGGTTTGTTTTGGGCATATAAATATCTTCTCACCTTCTAGAGCCCTGGGGAACAATTTGCAGGCTGGTGTTTTGCTTTTTTTCTTGCCTATGCACCATGGCCTGATCTTTCTTCCTTCATTGTGGGAGTGTTTCTTCAAAAGCATAATGGGTAATTTTTGTGCTCTCCAGCATGGAGGTGGCTTGCATGTTTGTGTTGAGTAGTACAGAGAGTAATAATTTATAGTGCAAGTATTCAAGCCACGTAGTAAGGGGGGAGGTCAGACAGACTACAGAAGATCTTCTTAGGCTCAGATTTTTCTTTCTTTACCTGCAAGTGTTACTGTTTATAATGTGGCACAACTGCAGAGTTGCAGCAACAGGCCATTTCTACCTACCAGTACCACGGGCAAATCGTGACATTAACAAAGCTCAGACTGCAGCTCAAAGATAGCACAAAAAGTGTAATTTATTGTAGTTGTTCTTTAGTAAGTCTTGTCCCAAGCACGAATTAACTGGCACAGGCCTTGCCCTGCTCACAGACCTGGGCCCAAGCCTACTCTGTCAGGGAGTGGCTGCCATTTTGCTGAGGGCCTCGCCCCCAGCCGGGCGCCAAAGCCTACTCTGTCAGGGACTGGCTGCCATTTTGCTGAGTGTTACTTGGTTCGAGGAGCAGTGTGTGACTGTTGCGGTTAGGAAACGAGTAACAGGCCTCTCTCCAAACAACACTCAGCTGAGTGGGGGCTTCTTTTTGTGATCAGGAACTTGAGATCAAAAAAGAAACTGGGGAGAGGCATGAGGCAGCAGAGGTGCTAGGCCGAAGAGGCAATGTCCTGCTTCTTCCCTAAAAGTAGAAGTGGGTAGAGTGTGAAGATGAAGGCTGAATACCTTGAGGGGAAAGGGAGAGAATGTTAAATGCATCTGCCTAAGACTGTGGTTAAAACAGTTCAGTCGGTTGTCACGTACAACTCTTTCAAGGATAGGATTGTCTTGGGCCCTGCAGAACTGAGTTTACCCCACGAACGGCAGTATTTCCCTTTTTCTTCAAAGGGCTCCTGTACCTAGTTCTTAAATACCACCGGGGTCACAAGTGTGGCTTCGTTTTGCAGCTAAAGCTGAGCTAATGGCAGTCAGGGCAAAAGGGAAGCCATCCTGATCTTGTCCTCCTTCTTCTTCCAGGCTGGGATTTCCTACTTTCCTGATGTCAGCACTGGCTCTTGCCTGGTCAAGCAGTGGCCCAGTTCAGAAAGCTAAGTTGCAGTCAGGAATGCTGTACAAAGGAGACAGGAAGGCACACCTGGAAGGGAGCTGGAGTGGGGCTGCCCTTTTCAGTAGGTGCTAACGGTAACACTAGCATAGGTAGGAGGAAACTGCACTCGGGATTCATTGCACCAAACTGCTGCTTCCCAGTTATGCTCATCTAAAAAGGTGAACACTTTCCTGCTGCTTCAGTGAGCTGAAATAGCTCAACAAGGCATCAGACAAGGGCCTGTGATGGAGCAGGTGAAGCGTCAGCTGCAGGGGTTAGCTCAACCATTGCATTAAACCTTTTCTCCGGCGTTGTTACTTTGGAAGTAAGGAGACAGACCTCCAGGGGGAAATGTGCTTTCTGCTGTAATCAGTTTTCTGCTTCATTTGGCACTTGTCTCGCAGACAGTACAGAAGTGTTGCTTCTTACATGGGTAGCAGTAATTTATTTTTTTAATTGGTTTTTGTCCTTAACCACGGGAGCAAGCTGAGGCTTGGCCCAGGACCCTGTCACTGAAGTGGAAGGAAGAAACATCAGTATTTACAAATGAGACTGAAATATCTCTATCTTTTGAGGCATTCTACAAGAGGTTGATGATGATGGGAATTTGCGGGGACTGGATCCTGCTTTAGAATTGATAGTGTGATATCCCAGAGACAATGTCATCTTGTGAGGAGTAGAATAAGACACCAGCATTGAGACAGGGGCCTTCCTTAAAGAGATCCTACCCAAAATCCTTCTTAGCATGTGGCAAAGGCTGTGGCCTGTGACCAACGGGTGTGAGAGATTCACCTGGGATAATTGGCTTGCTGTATTACTCTGGGGAATTTCAGTTGCATTGGTTTTGCTTATGCTGTTCAAATGCAGTGAGTGCAGCTGGTCCTGATTTATTATCATA